ATTTGCTCCATTGACTCCGTTAACAGGTGGGAGGGGTTAACTTTGCAGATTGAAACCATTGGATCTGAGTTTACTGTGAGTCGTTAGCATTTAGCCTAGCCAAAGATCGATCTCTCTCTCTCTCTTTCTTTTTCTCTGTCTCTCTCTCTCTCTCTGTCTCTGTCTCTCTCTCTCTCTCTGTCTCTGTCTCTCTCTCTCTCTCTGTCTCTCTGTCTGTCTCTCTGTCTCTCTCTCTCTCTCTGTCTCTCTCTGTCTCTCTGTCTCTCTCTCTGTCTCTCTGTCTGTCTCTCTCTCTCTCTCTCTCTCTCTGTCTCTCTGTCTCTCTCTCTCTCTCTGTCTCTCTGTCTGTCTCTCTCTCTGTCTCTCTCTCTCTCTGTCTCTCTCTCTCTCTCTCTCTCTGTCTCTCTTTCTCTCTCTCTCTCTCTCTCTCTCTCTCTCTCTCTCTCTCTCTCTCTGACCACGCCCACCGTCTTGGCTGCAGCTGCACTTGTGGCTCTCATTCATTAACAGCTTCTTAATGCTCCCAGATGGCAGGCCTATAATTTATGGTCTCCTCTGTGTGTGTTTAGTGTGTACTGTATGCGTGGGTGTGTTTGTCCATAAAACTCTGTGCAAACCCAGCACATTTGTTTATATGTGCCACTGATTGGAACCAATGGAAAAAATCCTAATTAGTGCAGTAGCCTCTATAGCAATGTCGAGATCCATTTGCCACGCAACATTTGTGCGCCAGGGCGGCCGCGGCTGTATGCAAATGAGTTCACGGGACATTTACCGTCTCCTGCGACCTCCTCTGAGGCAAGTTCTGAAGGGCAGCGCGAGGACAGGACAACACAATACAGTAGAGTGTGGAGAAATACACACTTACAGCTGCAATTATGACCTCATTCTCTTACATCAGAGCTTCTCAATCTGTGGTGTTGGGTTTGGTGATTGGGGGTTTTGTTGGATTCTGTGGATACTTGCAAGACGTCTGTGAGATGTGAAATCTGTGGTGTTGGACCTTTTTGCTTGGATTAATATACATTATTTTGTTCCAATAGCATGGGTTTTGTGAAAGGTTAAGGGGCAGCAGGGTGGCTGAGTGGTTAGCGCTCTCAGCAAAAAGGTCCTGCGAGTGGAATCCTGGTCAGAGCAGGGCCTTTCAGAGTGGAGTTTGCATGTTCTTCCTTTGTCCCTTATTACATTCATTCATTCATTTTTAACCCCTTTATTAGTCCATTTCTGGGTCTTGGGGGGTGGCAATGAGAGCTGCACCCAATTCTCATACAGCACCCGTCCCTCGTTAATCCTCTGCAGGTGGTGGGTCCGCAGGAAGATGGCTGCTACATCAATGGTGCCACAGCCTCGGTTTTTCCGTGGGAGCTTCAGGCAACGTGGGGTTAAGTGTCTTGCCCAAGGACACAACAGCAGCAGACATCAGTGGGAGCCATTGGAGTAGATCCTGTGATGGGCTCGGACCCACGACCTTCCTGCCCAAAGGCTACGGTCTGGTTTAAGTCCAAATCTATCGACCATGGTGGTAGATCTGGCTCTCTGGTCCAAGATTAGTTCTGCTTTTTGCCCTTATTCTATGAGCACTACCCTCTCCTCCTCACTTTATCTGTCTGCATTATTAGGATTTTGACTACTCTGTTCATTGCTATTCACCCGTTGTCCCAGAGTCTGTTTCATGCCGTGATGATGGGATTGTGGGTCTAACAAAAAGGACTGTGGAGATGATTACTACTGTTGTGATTTAGGGCCATACAAGAATACATTGAACGCATCATTTGGAATCCCTTTAGTTTCTGATATGGCTTCTGTCTGTTTTTGCCAAACGTGCAATTCAAGACTACAAAAAAACCCACACACTAGTAGCACATTACACTAATTCTTTCCTTTTTCCTCACATTAAAACAAGAATTTGCGGGATGCCTGAACAGTCCACATGCCCACGACCCTGCGTTCTCCCGTTTGCATATAATTGTTCACATCTTGACGATTGCGGGTCTCGCTAAAAACCACAGCCAATGGATTGCCAGTGTTTCCTGCAGCTGAGTGGGGGGGGGTTGGTGGGAGACGCTGGAGCTGGGTCTGTGGAGGGTGACGGAGGTTGCTGCAGATTTGTTGGCTCCATTCTCTGGCAAATAAAAGCAGCTCCATTCATTTGAACGAGAGACTTCAAAAATTCACAGCAAGTAAACTAGAGTGGACCAAAAAAATTCACTCCCCTCAGCATTGACCAGTGAGGGCGGGTCCCGGCGCTGACATGTTGCAATACCACCCCGGGCCGAAGAAGAATTAGCCAATGCTAACATATAGCATTGGCAGACCTCTCAAAAACGTCTTTACAGGATGGACCAAAAGTTGGCTCTTGGCCCAAAGCTCCGTTCCACATGTGTGTCAATGCTGAGGGGGGTGTTTTGGTCCATGTTTACTTGCCGTTAATTTTTGAAGTCTCTCGTTCAAATGAATGGAGCTGCACAGATGCGGTTTTTCTAGGGCTGTCAAAATTATCGCGTTAACGTACGTTAATTAATTGTTTTCATTAATCGCGTTAAAAAAATTAACGCATTTGACGCATGCCCATGCGTCCCATAATAACACTCAGAATGCCGCGGACACGTGTGTGTGTACGATGGGGACAGAGCAGGTAGACCCTCTGGGAATTCAAGTTTTGAAAGAATACACGCGTGACCTCGGGGCACTTGTTGTTTCCTGTATGAACTCTGCATGATGAGCTGCGGGCGCCACAGCGCTCTGGACAGCAGCACCACCTCCAGCGGCTGTGATCACGGCGAACGGCGCTGCGTAATGGGATCATATCCAAGACCACGCACAGAACTATTACAGAACTATTCTCTAGTGTGCGTACGTGTCTTTGCGTAACCGATGCACACAATATGTACAGCGCTGAAGCTGGAGGAGCCTCAGTCTCCTCCGTGTCTTCTCCCGAAGCTCACTCGCTAAATTAAAGCTGATGTACCTAATTTTCCTTTCGACCATCAGTTCATGTTAGTTGTGCCAAAAAAAGTAATGGTGTGAGCAAATCAAACAGATTTAATGACATTCTGCTTCAGACTGTTTTGAAATGTTCCTCATCTGTAACAAACAATGGTTTTGGTCTAAACAGAAAGACAGAATGTTAATAATGTTAATTCCATTTTATATGGATTTATTGTTATAACAAACAAATACAGTTCATATGTTCACTAAGCTGTCATTTATCTTTCCATTCAAACAACCATTTACAGAAAAATATGGCATAATTTTGCCAATAGTTTGAAATGCGATTAATTACGATTAATTAATTTTTAAGCTGTAATTAACTCGATTAAAAAAATTAATCGTTTGACAGCCCTAGTTTTTTCACAATTTTCTTGTGGGCGGGACCACTCGCGGCCATTTTGGATTGCTCCAGTAGAGCACTTTTTTTGGCCCATTAGTTAGAACGGCGGAGATAGGCGTGACTCTGTCCGTTAATATATACAGTCTATGGCATTGACACACGTGTGGAACGGAGCTTTGGGCCAAGAGCCAACTTTTGGTCCATCCTGTAAAGACGTTTTTGAGAGGTCTGCCAATGCTATATGTTAGCATTATTAGCATAATTCTACTTCTGGGTCCACCCCTATCGGCCGGGGTGGTATTGCAGCATGTCAGCGCACATCATTTTGGCCACTTTTGAGCCGGGACCCTCCCCACTGGGTCTATCTCTCTCTGGTCTCTCTCTGGTCTCTCTCTGGTCTCTCTCTGGTCTCTCTCTGGTCTCTCTCTGGTCTCTCTCTGGTCTCTCTCTGGTCTCTCTCTGGTCTCTCTCTGGTCTCTCTCTGGTCTCTCTCTGGTCTCTCTCTGGTCTCTCTCTGGTCTCTCTCCGGTCTCTCTCTGGTCTATCTCTCTCTAGTCTCTCTGGTCTCTCTTTCTCTGCTCTCTTTGGTCTCTCTCTCTAGTCTCTCTCTCTGGTCTCTCTCTGGTCTCTCTCTGGTCTCTCTCTGGTCTCTCTCTCTAGTCTCTCTCTGGAAAACAGCTAAAATTCTGCTTAAAATGAGAAATATATTGAAAAATAGAAGAAAATATATTTTGAAAATAACAAAATAATACCAGCCCCAAACGACTTGATTCTTGTAAATTTCAAACGTAAATTTCAAAAATTATTTACTTATTTCTAAAACATTTTTGAGTGTTCTTAATATATAGCATCACAAACTTACATGAAACATGAAAAGTCTGGAAAAATGAAAAAATACAAAAAAAAGCTTAACTCACTGCTCAGACTATTTTCTCTAAGATGATGAATTATCTTAAAACTAATAAAATAATCTTATGACAAACTACATTCAAGCAACAACAACAAAATCTTGCCATTAAAAAAAGCATAAATTGTTATTTTTGACCATAAATTTTACTTTTTTAATGTATTTTTTTATGTCAAATCTACTCTGAGCTCTGGAGGAATATGTATTTTTGTGTTGTAAGGAATCATTGTGTGTCTGAATTAAAGAGAGAAAAAACAAAACAAAGATTGCCAAGCAGTGCAGGGCCTGGTTAATACTGTGATGGGAGACCTCTGGGAACAGCAGGTGCCACAGTGGGGCGGCTGCGGCTGTAAAGTGCCAAACTGTGGCTGTGTCCTTAGGCAAGACACTTCCCCCACATTAGAATGAGTCTGGTGTGTGTGTGAATGGTTGGTGGTGGTGGGAGGGGCCGATGGCACAGACTGGTTGCCTCGCTTCTGTCAGTGTGCCCCAGGGCAGCTGTGGCTACAGTAGTAGTTTATCACCACCGTGTTTGGAGTGAATGAATGAAGATGTGAAGAGACTTTGAGCGTCCAAAAACAAAATAATTCTGCGATAAAACTAAATATTTCTGTAAGGACTAGTGCCACCTCAGCCTCTCGTCTCCAGTGTGTGTAAAATCCAAAGTGAATGAATCCGTGTGAGATCACATGTTGGAGCAGGGGCCAACTATGTCCTCATCGCAGCGTGCGTAGATAAGTATATGTGTTTGAGAGCATGTCCTCAGCGGCCTGACCACAACTGCACAGCTGGCATCGAGCTGAGGGCCTCGGTGTCACTGCGGTCTCCTCGGGGCCCCACCATGGCTCTTCCCGCTCTGATGGCTCCTCGCTTCTTCCCTTTCGCCCTCGTCCACTTGTTTTTGTGCGTTTCTCTTTCTGTCCCGGTTTGGCTCGTCCATCTGTCTCCTACACCGGACCAGACGCCAGAAATCCCCGCCATGTTTGTCAGAATGTGCAATACAGAACCGTGTCAGAATGTGCAATACAGAACCGTGTCAGAATGTGCAATACAGAACCGTGTCAGAATGTGCAATACAGAACCACGTCAGAATGTGCAATACAGAACCACGTCAGAATGTGCAATACAGAACTACGTCAGAATGTGCAATACAGAACCACGTCAGAATGTGCAATACAGAACCACGTCAGAATGTGCAATACAGAACCATGTCCGAATGTGCAATACAGAACCACGTCCGAATGTGCAATACAGAACCACGTCAGAATGTGCAATACAGAACCACGACAGAATGTGCAATACAGAACCACGACAGAATGTGCAATACAGAACCACGACAGAATGTGCAATACAGAACCACGACAGAATGTGCAATACAGAACCACGACAGAATGTGCAATACAGAACCACGTCAGAATGTGCAATACAGAACCACGTCAGAATGTGCAATACAGAACCACGTCAGAATGTGCAATACAGAACCACGTCAGAATGTGCAATACAGAACCACGTGCAATACAGAATGAATGCAATACAGAACCACGTCAGAATGTGCAATACAGAACCACGTCAGAATGTGCAATACAGAACCAGAACCACGTCAGAATGTGCAATACAGAACCACGTCAGAATGTGCAATACAGAACCACGTCAGAATGTGCAATACAGAACCACGTCAGAATGTGCAATATAGAACCATGTGTGTCCACTGCTACTCTACCGAGTCACTTTGTCTCAGAGCCTCATGCTATTGCTAACATGCACAGATGCTAACATGAACAGATGCTAACATGAACAGATGCTAACATGAACAGATGCTAACATGAACAGATGCTAACATGAACAGATGCTAACATGAAGAGATGCTAACATGAAGAGATGCTAACATGAAGAGATGCTAACATGAAGAGATGCTAACATGTAAAGATGCTAACATGTACAGATGCTAACATGAACAGATGCTAACATGAACAGATGCTAACATGAACAGATGCTAACATGTACAGATGCTAACATGAACAGATGCTAACATGAACAGATGCTAACATGAAAAGATGCTAACATGTACAGATGCTAACATGCACAGATGCTAACATGAACAGATGCTAACATGAACACATGCTAACATGTACAGATGCTAACATGAACAGATGCTAACATGAACAGATGCTAACATGAACAGATGCTAACATGAACAGATGCTAACATGAACAGATGCTAACATGAACAGATGCTAACATGAACAGATGCTAACATGAACAGATGCTAACATGAACAGATGCTAACATGAACAGATGCTAACATGAACAGATGCTAACATGAACAGATGCTAACATGTACAGATGCTAACATGTACAGATGCTAACATGAACAGATGCTAACATGAACAGATGCTAACATGTAACAGATGCTAACATGTACAGATGCTAAACATGATACAGATGCTAACATGAAGATGCTAACATGACAGATGCTAACATGAACACATGCAATGCTAACATGTACAGATGCTAAAGTACAGATGCTAACATGAACAGATGCTAACATGAACAGATGCTAACATGAACAGATGCTAACATGAACAGATGCTAACATGAACAGATGCTAACATGAACAGATGCTAACATGAACAGATGCTAACATGAACAGATGCTAACATGAACAGATGCTAACATGAACAGATGCTAACATGAACAGATGCTAACATGAACAGATGCTAACATGAACAGATGCTAACAGATGCTAACATGAACAGATGCTAACATGTACAGATGCTAACATGAACAGATGCTAACATGAACAGATGCTAACATGAACAGATGCTAACATGAACAGATGCTAACATGAACAGATGCTAACCTGTACAAATGTAAGCATGCAACTACATATTTCTTGCACTAGAATACAGCATAATACCTTTTTTTGCCAAATGTAGAAATTTTATACTTATTTTTTATGTTCAAGATAGAGATTGTGTACTTGTCTCTTTGCACACTTCACAGTTCAGGACACACACAAACACACAAAACTACACGTCAAAAAAAGCAGGAACGAAGAGTGCGATGCTGAAAGTAGGAGTTGTGTGTCAATCTTACCTAAAACCATGTGTGCGAATGGATCAAACCAGAGAAAACCTCCCGGAACTTGAGTCATGGGATAAAAATCAAAGTGACACATTCATAAAACGCGAGAATTGTGCTGGAGTTGAAGCCGTCCGCCTCCGGAGCAGTGGACGTGGGGTTTGTGTGAGCGCACACCACATTACAAACACAAAAGCAAACACTAACAAGAGTCACTGCAAACACCGAGACCACAACAGGCTCAAGACACACATTTAAAGTCACGGTCAGCAGGATTTATGTCCAACACAACTCTGTTACTAAGGCAGAAGTCATAATTATAGTTTTATTTGTGTTGTTCAGCGGAGGACAGGGAGTGACGGACATCGGAAAGACTGGATTTTTCTCTTATGATGGTGGTCGTTTAAAGAGGACGTTTTACACATTATTCATAGCTGTCAAACAAGATTATAGATAGATAATACACAAAATAGATTGATAATAAATTGATCTTTCGAAAAAGCTAACAATAGTATTATTAATAACAGTTCTTCAGGTCACAGCAGCAGAGGTTTGGTTCGGAACATTTTCTCTGCTCTGGTCCAAAGTGAAATGCTAAATTCCTCGTTAGCATTTTTCTAAAAGTTAGCATTCCTCCAGTGGATTTTCACCTGATCCCCTTGGTTTGGACCATGAATCCATTCTGCTCTGGTCTGGACCAGTGTAAAACCATGAAGCTCTCTGCTCTGGTCTGGTCCAAATAACAGTTGTAAAACACAAAACTGTTTCAGAGACACTTAGGACTCGCTGCCGTTTTTCAGCTCATTACTTTTGGTTCAAATCCATTATTATATTGATTTTAAAACTTTGTACTTTGTCATTTTAATGTATTAGAATGTGAAAAGAGGAAAAACAAGAACAGAAGGAAGATATTTTAACACTTTCAGCCCCAACATCACCAGTCACCAATCCAGCATTTTCCCAATTTACTAACAACAAATTTACTGCACTTAAATATTTAGATTTTCCACATTTTCAGTCTTTCACCAACAGCTTTACCCATGTATAAAAGTGCTGCTTTTGAATGCACAGGGACAGTTCAAACCATTTTACCAACATTTGTCAGTGATTCTTCTCTAAACTCTTTCTGCTTCCGTGCAGTCCACCAGATTCGTTCCAAATCCTTCCAACCCTTTTGACACGACGACGAACACACAAACTGTCCTCGTCTGATCCAAGTCTGCGGAGATGGAACGGTGAAATCGCTGACGGCCGCTTCCAAATCCCATTCGACTCACGTGCCACTTTGTACTGAGTGAAACCAGGGCCAAAACCACTCACAGACGACACCAGCCGGATACCGTTGCTTTGTGGGAAATTAAAAGCAGTTTGATTATTGCTGTGGTTTAGGATTACGCCACTTAACCGTTCTCAGATCGTGAAACGTGACACTGGAAATGTTTTGACGAAGCGATCGAGAGCAGGTTCATAATAGTGTGGGTGCCGTGGTAACCGTGGTGACCGTGAGGAGGCAGGTCCCGGAGGCAGGTCCCGGTGGCAGGTCCCGGTGGCAGAGCACTGATCCGTGAGTGTTTGGAGTGAGCAGCCGGCAGCGCATCAGCGGCTTTCAGCAAACACACCTGGGCAAAGACACTCAGGGCCAAATGTGCTCCGGAAGTTCAAGAGCCGGAGATGAAAACTTTATGTGGTTTAGCAGCGCTTTGAGTTGAGCTAGAAATGCAGTAATATCCTCCTATTCTTTTATATAGATAGATAGTTTATTGATCCCCCATATGGAAATAAAAGGGTAAAAAAGGGTGTAAAATGTATATAAATACATTCCACTCGGACTCTGAGGAGCACAGGGACTGGTCTCCTGCTGGGATTCTGAGGAGCACAGGGACTGGACTCCTGCTGGGACTCTGAGGAGCACAGGGACTGGACTCCTGCTGGGACTCTGAGGAGCACAGGGACTGGACTCCTGCTGGGACTCTGAGGAGCACAGGGACTGGACTCCTGCTGGGACTCTGAGGAGCACAGGGACTGGACTCCTGCTGGGACTCTGAGGAGCACAGGGACTGGCCTCCTGCTGGTCTCAGAGTCAGGACTAAACCTGGAGGAGGCTGCATTTCAGATTCATGCAGCACAAATCTGGAACAATCTTCCTGAAAATGTGAGACAATGTTAAAATCCAGGTTAAAAACAGTTCTGTTTCTGCAACAACTGAGGGGTCTATATTTTTATCTTTATTTTTAATGCACTTTGATGTTATTTCTTTGTGTGATTTTTTTCTATCTGGTTTTGCTCAGCACTTTGAGTTGCCTTGTGTATGAGTTGTGCTATACAGATAAACTTGCCTTAATGGGAAATTGTACACAAATAGTATCACTTCATATAATATGCAATAATGTAAGGTTAGTAAGAGGTGGAAGCGAAGTCACCGTACAGGAGGCACATACCAGACCTATCGTTTATGTTTTTAGTGGTAGGAGAAGCCGGAGCACCCGGAGGAAACCTACACAGATAGGAGAACAAACTGTACTCAGACCGGGACCTTCTTGCTGAGAAGCGAGAGCGCTTTGGACCATCCTTCCGATGCCACTTGGAAAGTCACCTGTCCGGAGTCACATCAGTGCAGCGCTCAGGGACCAAGCTCCAGATGGTGACGCTCGGCTCGGTCAGAACCAGAGCTGGAGGGTTTTTGGAGGGTGCAGGTTATTAGGTGTTGGGGGAAACCGGAGCGCAAAGAAACATGGAAACTCCACACAGAAAGCCCCAGGTTGACACATGAGTGCTATCCACTCAGCCACAGGGTAATCCATACAAATTATTTTGTTTGAAATTGTTTCTTGTGGATGGCTATTTTTTGATGTTGCTCTGAAACTGTAAAACTACCTTTGCAGACACCAACAATAATATGAAAATACATGTGCTACTACTACTACTGCGAAAAGAAGGTGTTGGCTTTAGCGCCCATTGATCTGTTCAATTAGATTCAATGTATTTTTGTACAGCTCTAAATCACAAGAGAGGTCATCTAAAAGTGGAAGTGAGAAACCTTGGAGAGTCCCAGGTCAGATTTAGTGTTAATCACAAAACAATGAAATAATTCCATATCTTTAACGTTCAATGTCAAAATATTAGACATAAAGGACATTATGACTTCAGAGGGGAAACAAAATGTAGCATGAAGCAGGAAGAAGCCACAGATTGAGGCACAGGTGACATGGTGGTTGGACTCATCATTATTGGATTAACCCACCACCATTTTCCATCTCCTTTGAAACAAGCAGGTCGCAAACCAAACCAGAAACACTCTACAACACACCTTTATTTGTCTTCCACGTTTCACTTCCGCTCCGCTGCTGCCGAAACCTTTTTAGAAGTCACTAAAAGATCATGGCTGTCACTGCTCACCATTACAATGATTTATTCCCGGCCAAACATGCTCGGAGCCCGCCAAAACTGTCTCCAAGTCGGGATTAAAGAGCTCCGTGACCTTGGGAGATGGAATAATTGCTTTTGTATGTACTTGCGATGTCAAACGGTTAAACCATGCGGTCAATCCGACATGAGAAGAATATTATTTCAACAATTTGGGTCCACATTGCCCCTATTGAATCACTGCAAAGACACAGTGAGAAGGGTGTCGCTGCCAAATTTGCCCCGGAGAAGGCATTTTACGAACAAAGGCGAACAAAGCGACGGACCACAGACTGTCATTGGAGCCAGTTTTTTTGTTCCGTGATGAAACCCCACGCAGAGTAAAACAATTCCATCAAATCTATCTTTCTTATCCCGTCCTGACAGCTGTGGTAAGCTCGTCGCCGTGCCAGCGTACGCCCCGAAGCCTGTTTACCATCCGGCTATTCCATCTGAAATCGGAGCAAACAGGGAGGAAACAATCGCTGGCACGGATCGGGGACTGGTGCCGCACATGCACGTACCTCCGGGTTATTTGTGTTTCTTAATGAACGGTGAAAAAGGCAGATGTGTTGGACGGATTTCAAGAAAACAGAAGTTCAGGAGGAGAGCAGGGCCCAGAGCGCTGCGTGGTTTGCATAGAAAATGGAATGGGATTTAAGGACGGATGAGGAGGTATATTAGGGATATTAGCGTTTGTCACAACAGATAATACATTCTGTGAACAAATCTGATCTCACAGGCTGTCTTTCTTTTAATAAAAAACATGTCATCTTTTTATACTTGGAAGAAACAGCCTTGGGAGTCACTATTTGACCATTTAGGGCTGAGAACTCAAGACGTGTGATGTGTAAAAAAGGTACAAGGCGAGTGATGGAAGGAAAGACTGTTTTTAGAGCAAGGAACTAGTTTGAAAGTTTAGTAACATGGATTTAAAGGTCTCGTGACAGGACTTTTATGCACTTGTTTAGACGAGCGCATTGAGTGGAACTTAAGTTGGCACAGACTGGTTGCCTCGCTTCTGTCAGTGTGCCCCAGGGCAGCTGTGGCTACAGTAGTAGTTTATCACCACCGTGTTTGGAGTGAATGAATGATGACATGTGAAGAGACTTTGAGTGTCCAGAAAAGCGTTATATAAAACAGATGCATTATTATTATTATTATTATCATAACTTAACAATTAATCTGGTTAATCTAGGGCTTTTTTTGGAAACTCAAAGATGCTTCACATGTCATTAGTCTCTCATTAAATTGATCACAAACACGGTGGTGATAAACTACTACTCTAGCCACAGCTGCCCTGGGGCACACTGACAGAAGCGAGGCATCCAGTCTGTGCCATCAGCCCCTCCCACCAGCACCAACCATTCACACACACACCAGACTCATTCTAATGTGGGGGAAGTGTCTTGCCTAAGGACACAGCCACAGTTTGGCACTTTACAGCCACAGCCGTCCCACTGTGGCACCTGCTGTTCCCTCAGGTCTCCCATCACAGCACTAACCAGGCCCTGTCCTGCTTACTAACTCTGCTAATGCTGCTTTTGATATGTATCGATCACCCCGGTTCCTATGGGAGAGATGTGGCAAATATATATAAAACAGATACATGTTAAAAGAGTGTCCCTTTGTCCTCGCTGTTATTTTCATATATCATAAAAACAATTAAAAAAAGAAAAGCATTGTTCCAGCTTCTTCCCTCTAAGACATCGTCCGTTGATGTATTCCAATGTGGTTTTACTGCAAATGTCAAATAAATGAATCTGACTCTAAAACTAAATCTAGAAGAAAGTATTAATCTCATTTCTCAGCAGAGTTTCGCAATTTCAACCACAACTCAAAAAAAACCTGACTTTTCTCTGATTGCGTAACGTGCAGCGGTATTGGCTTGATTCACGCTCTAATTGGAAACTTGACTATTAGGGGTAAATTTCAACCGTGGGCAAATATTGTAAAAAACCCACAAGAAATTGAGCTTTTGTGGCGACTGATTGTGAAGCCAGACGCACAACTTTGGAAATCTCTAATGACTTTGACAATGGCATTTATATCCTGACGATCCCAAAGCCGTATTTTCCATCCCGGGTTTGTCTCTGTTGAAAATAGGTATCATAAAGTATTATACTGACGCGAGGATGCTGAGCTGCCAGGAAAGAGGCCTGCACGAACAACTTTAAGGAGATTTATAGATGCAGTGAAAGAGGACGTCCAGGCCCAGTGGAGACCAGAGCGAGTCCGGGGAAAGAAGAGCCCAAGTTGAAGAATAATATGCAGTAGATTATGGTCGGCAGGGAGCACGTAAAGCTGGACATGTGGCCTTTGGGGAGACCGGGAATATCTGAGAAGAGGGATTTTTTTCTTTTGCATACAACGGATCGTCTCAAATGATTGTCATGGTCTGAGAAGGGAAGACAGATGTGGCCTAAACGTGTCCGAAACCTTTTTTGTTTTAAGCCATTTTTTGAAAGGGGTAATTTTGTGTATTTTGAGTCTGGGTTTGGGTCTGAACCCTGGTCGGACAGGAACAGGGCCTTTCTGAGCGGAGGTTACATGTCCTCCCCGTGTCTGCGTAGGTTTCCTCCAGGTGCTCCGGCTTCCTCCAGGTGCTCCGGTTTCCTCCAGGTGCTCCGGCTTCCTCCAGGTGCTCCGGTTTCCTCCAGGTGCTCCGGTTTCCTCCAGGTGCTCCGGTTTCCTCCAGGTGCTTCGGTTTCCTCCAGGTGCTCCGGTTTCCCTTACCACTAAAAAGATGCCCAATAGGTCTGGACTTAATGAGTGAGAGAATGGAGGGTGTTTGGTCAGAGGCTTTGATGGTCCAGTGTGTTCGGCGTCTCGCTTCTGTCGTCACCGTGTGGAGAGAATGGAAAAATATCTGAACTTTGAACAGGGTCCGTCAGCAGAGCTAGCTTCCCAAACAACTGATAGCATAGCATCCCATAGCATCCTAGAGACCACTGTGATAAAATAACGACACCGCGCTGACCACACACAAAGACACTTTGTCACTGCAAGTCGACAATATCAACTTTTCACACATAAAAAGTTACAAAATGCACCTTCTAGTTTTATTTTATTACTTACTGTTAAATTGAGCAACACATTCCTATTACGTCATCAGCGCTGACTGGATTTTTATTGTAGAATTTTGTTGTTCTATACTGTATTATACAGTGGGTAAACAGAAACCAAAACAAACCCTAACCCTAACTGCAAGATAACGTATTTAATAAAAAGAGACTGGAGGTTTGATTAAATACACAAGTCTAATGAGACACTGGGGACACACATGAGGACAGGGCAGGTCATCAGACAGGAAGTGCAACTAAAAACACAGGGAGTAACGGATATCAAAATAAAACAGGAAATAAACCTGAACCGTGACTATCAGGTTGTGAATGATTCTTTCTGGATTCAGATTTAGTTTATTTGCCATTTGCAGTAAAACCCCATTGGAATACTTTCACATTGGTAACTTTCACAGCTTATCTGGTGAGAGCTGCTGCGACAGAGATGTAAGAATAAAAAGCAGCCATAAGCTCATCAGTGTGCGGTTAATGAGGCCAGTGTTAGTGTGCGTGTGTGTGTGTGTACGTGTGTGTGTGTGTGTGTGTATGTTTGTAGACTGGGGCGATCAGCCATGTGCCAATGCAACCTACTTTAGACCCACCGACCCACTTCTGTGTGACCCACAACAAAATGGCACCAGCTCAGAAATCTTACACAAACATCAGAAACTTTATTGTGTCACCGGGAATGTGTTACGTTACGACAAAAGTGTGTTACGATTTTAGTAGATTCAGAAAACCCACGAGACATTTGCAAAATCTTAAAAAGTCTGTAAGCATTTAGATGTATTTATTAAGTCCAACTATGAATACAGACCAGGCGACAGTGGCTCAGTTTGTAGAGCATTTGCCTTTGAGCCTGAAGGTCATGGGTTCGATCCCACCATGACCTTCTGCATTGATTCCCACTGATGTCTGTGTGTCCTTGGGCAAGACACTGAAGCCCCTGCTGAAAGATCAAGGCAGCTCAGACTAGATCAGCTCTGACTGCCATCCCCGGACCCAGAAATGGATTAAGGGGAAGAAATGGATGGACTTCCATGAATAACATCAGTATTATGTCTATGGGCAAAAGGGAATTATTTTATTCCACATTACACAATACAATACAGTTTATTCTTGTATAGCCCTAGGTCACAACAGAAGTCATCTCGGAGGACTTAACAAAACCATTGAAATCACCAACACAGGTCAGAGAATCAACAGTTAAAACACATGAAGAATATAAAGCACACACAGAAGAAAATGTCCATACATGTTGTAGAATCCAATCCTAGAAACCAATCCTTTCTGTTGGACACTAACTGTCCAACAAGACCCTCCTGCATCCACAAGGAACAACTCTTAAAAAACCCAGTGGGAAAAAGTGAGAAACCTTGGGGAGCACTAGGGAAACCCACAGGGAGGGAGACCCATTTGAGAAAGGGATCCGCTCCTCCGGACGGACAGGCTAATGATCTAGGACCTAAGCTAGCTACAGAACGTGGACCAGTGGCCGCTGAACGTGGACAGGTCCGGTGCAGGACTGAAGCACTCCCAGGCGGGTCGGGCGGGGCAGTCCGCAGGTGTAGATGGAGGAGGCCAGGCTCAGAGATCCCGTCATCGTACCATGAAACAGACATTACACATACAGTGCCTTGCGAAAGTATTCGGCCCCCTTGAACCTTTCAACATTTCGCCACATTTCAGGCTTCAAACATAAAGATATAACATTTTAATTTTTTGTCATGAATCAACAACAAGTGGGACACAATCGTGACGTGTGAAGTCAATAATTCCCTTT